AGGAGATTTGGCAAAGATTTGGTCAGTGTGGATGAGTTCCTGTTCCCCCATCTTTTCACTGGCTTGTACTTAGACCCTCTGCCTGCCTCCCTTTCCTCTCCTCAGGCTCCTTGGAGCCAGCTAATGGAGATAATAAGAATGAAAGAGAAGGGAAATTTTCTCCGGGCTCCTTGACCGGCTGAGCTCTGGCTGGGTGGGGGGAGGGTGTTGGAGAGACTGGGGTGGGGGCGGGGCAGTCGGGGACGGGGCTCAGGTCGCAGGTGGCCAATGGGCTGATTCATTAAGTGTGTCCCTGGAGGGAAGAAGTCAGGATCCCGGTCTTGGCAGGAACTGGGATCCTTTGGAGATTTAACCTGAAAAGATGCCTGAGGCTGGAGGGCTCCTGTGAGCTGAGGTGAGCTGGGGAATGCAGGGTCCCCTGCGCTGGGAGCTCCATAGCCCCCGCCACCCCCGCCTCAGCACTGGGCGTCATCACACCTGCCCCATGGCACCCCTTCCTTTCTGTGCCCCAGAGATGCTAGGCTGCTGCCAACTGTTTTCTTGCTGATCACAGCTGGGGCCTGCAGCTGGTGGCACTTGACGGTGGTGGCGGGGGTTCTCTACCCCGACTCCCCCATCCCTGTGACTGACCTCTTCCCTCTTGTCTTCATTTATTTTCCCTGTGTCATCATCATTATTCCTTTCTTGGTTTCCAACTGTCTCACACCATCTCGTTCCCGTTTCTGTGTGCTCTGACTAATGTTAATACGTAATATTTTGTATAATGCTTTAAATATCCTCCCACTTCCTTCATATCTGTTACCTCATAGATTCTGTCTTGTCTCAGCCTCTCCTACTCTGTCTCTACCTTTAGGGAACAGGCAGCTCCTATGTTTGCAGTAAAATGTTGGTCTGTGCTCTGAGAGAGCGGACAAATGGCTGCCTTTGTTTCTGTCTGGATGGCTCTGCCTCCTTCCACCATCTCTACCTTCCCTGCTTCTTCCCTGTCTCCACTGAGCTCATGTGCCTTTGAGGCTGGGGTCCTTCTATTCACCTTCTATCGGCTTCCATCGTCAGGCAGCTCACGCCCCAGGTAATTGTGCTGGCGGGAGACCTGATTAACTCCTCGTCTTGCCTGCAGATTAATGTTGCTCTCGGAGCACAAGCAGCCCCGTGTTCTGGCACACCCGGCTCTGAGCTGAGCTAGGACCCAGGGAGGCAGCTCTTGCCAGCGGGCGAGGGGCTAGGGCTGTCTGTGTCCTGAGTTGGGGGTAGACAGGCTCTGGCCACCCTCCTCCCATCCCTAGCAGCTCCCTCCATCCTCGACTTCTCAGAATCAGGCCGAGAGGAGGGTGACCAGAGCCTGACCGCCCCCGCTCTCCGCCTCGTCTCCTGCTCCCAGGGCCCAAATTGTCATCACTTTCCCAATGAAGTGTCTGGTCATTTTCAGAAGCAATTTCAGGAGAATATGCAGCTGCTGCTCCCTACCCTGCTTTTCCTTTTCCAGCATGGCTGAAGGCACTGTCAGCTCTCTGGGCTGGGGGCTGAAGGGGCACAGGCTGGGGTCCCTGGTCTCCCTTCTGTCCTCCCCTCAGTCATGTGGATGGATGCTAGGTTGGGGAAGGTTGGGGGGGGTCCTCTCTTCTTTAGTCTCCCTTCTCTCCCTTCCTCCTCTGCTTCCCTGTCTCTTCAGGAACTCGGGAGTGTGTGTTTTCAGCCCCTGAAACCTACAGGGGCTCAGTTTCCCCACCTGTGTTTCAGGGCTTGAGTTGACTCTATGACAGTGGGAGAAGCTGAGGTTCTGCTGCACTGTCCCCGTTGCCCTGCCCGTCCGGCTCTCTCAAGGTCTAGACTGAGTCTCTGAGGGCCACAAGCTGTCCTGCATTCCCCTAGACCCCCTGAGGGGCCATCATAGCATCTCTCAGCACAAGCCAGCTCTAGCTCAGCCCTCCTGGCTTGGCCCGTTTCTTCCACAGGCTCTATTCCTCATGCTGTGGGTTGTCTCCAAGCTGTGTGCTGGCCGCAGGGCTCAGGAGGACCAGAAGCTGTCATCCTTCCATTCTTCACTGGTGTCTTCCTCGAGTGTCACATGTGGCCCTGGCGCCTCCCTCAGCACCCCTCCAGGATGTTGAGAGGGTCCACATATTGCACTCAAGCTGTGCACACGGTGGACATATGCAGGCCATCTTGTGTTCACAAGCAAGTGCTGGGTCAGCCTGCATCTTGACCCCAGTGGCAGCTGACTAAATTGTCTCATCTCAGCAAGTCCTTTCCTGGCCTCACCTCCAACCTGCCCCAGCAAAAAAGGGGGAGCTCCAGAGGAAGGATCTGCCAGGGACCCTGCTCCTCTAGGCTAGTGACAGTTAGTGTCTGAGATGTGGCCCAAATAAAGAGTAAGTGTTCAAAGAAAAAAACACCCAGGTTCTCTGTAGCTGCAACACCCACTTTACATGCCATTTGCATATGATTTGTGGCAAAGTGAAGCCCAGCCTGCCCCAGCCCTCTGAAGCCTCCCTCCTTCATCACCTTTCGGACTTAGCTTAGCATCAGCTCTTTCAAGTCTTTGCTAATCCCAAAGATCAAGGGGTGATCAATTCTCCCTGCCAATCCCTTGCTCCCCCCATCCTTGGCTCCTGCCATCCTCCGTGAGATGCCTCAACATCAAAGGACATTATTCATGGTGGACCTTTGCTGAAGCCTTGCTTCCCTGGTGCCAGGACTTGGGGGCAGGGGTGGATGGGAGGATGGGTTGGTGTGGGGAGGGAGGCTGATGCAGAGCTGGGACCCAGGAGGCTTTAGTCCCTAGCCCTCAGTCTAACACATTCCTCCTCCTGCACCCCCAGCTCCAGCCTGCCCAGCTTGGACCTCCTTTTCCAGATTGTTAGGGGAGGCGGGGAGGTAGGAGATGGTTAGGCCCAATTAGGAACAGCACCTGAGCTTCTCAAAGGTGTGAGCCAGTTGTGCCATTTACATGTAAACAGCCTTCAGCTTCTACCCTTCATCCTCCCAAAGGCTCCCAATGCTGGGCCCTGGGCCATGGTCGCCCCACACAGCCCTGCAATTAGCTGGGTAATGGGGCCCCATTAGCCCCTCACATAATAAAGGGGCCTTGAGACCTAGCTGCCGCCCTCTGGGGTGAACGTGGGGCCCTGTGCAGCCAGAGTGACTTGTCCTGGGGTGGGTGGGGTTGTGGGAGGGGGGAGACAAACATTTCAGGACCCTGGCATGGCCGGAGAGGACCTATGTAGGAGCCACACTGTGGGCTGGAATGCAGGAAGCTGCACTCAGGCTTCCCTTTTTGTTTTATGAATAAATTTTTATTGAGCATCTATTTACGCCAAATAATGTAGAGCTAGGAATCCAGCCACAGACGAATGACAGTCCTTGCCCTTGTGATGCTGACATTCTGGAAGGGGTGGGGTAGACAGACTGTAAGTAAAACTTCGATGTGTTTGATGTAATAACAGCATGAAGAAAAGAAGCAGGAGAGGGTACGGAGGATGCAGTGGTAGTAATTTAAAATAGGGTGGCTGGGGAAGGCACCAGTGAGCAGGAGTCTTCATAGTAAATATGCAACAGAGCTTTGATTCTCTTCCCAACCCCAAGATGCAGAAGAGCACAAGGTCCCAAATCTCCAGATCTGTTCAAGAGGTGGACCCCCCACCCCTTCTGGGAGACTTAGCTGTTCCCTTACTGGTCAAAGTTCAGACCAGTGCAGTAAAATGAAGGGGAGGTTTGGAGTGAGAAAATCCTGAATTTGAGTTGCTTCTCCAGTAGCTGTATGTCCCGGAACATGTGACTGTACTTTTTGAGCCTCAGTTCCCTCATCTGAAAATGGGAATATTTCCTACTCACACGGCGGTGGTGATGAAAATCAACTGCATAGCTCTCTGCTGACGCGCCCTGCAAATGTTCAAACCCCGCACCCATCATAGTGAGTGGCGACTGCTCTAAGGGAGGCTTTCACTCTGCCTCCCCTGGTCTCTTACAGCAGCGTTTTTTCTTTCTGGGTCTGCTCGGATCCTGATCCTGACTCTGACTCTGACTCTCCCCTGGGGCTCTGCGTTAGGTGTGAAGTGGGTAGAGTAAGTCCCCTAAACTGCGGGGCGTGAACAAGAGGCTTGCAAGTTCAGGGGAGAAGACGCCTGAATTGCAGGGAGACAGATGTGAGCGGGAAGAATGTAACTATGGGGAGAGAAAGAAGCAATGAAGAGATCAATGCTGGAGCGGGGGCGGCGAGGGTAGGGGGACAGCTCAGCATTGTGTTCTGTTCCTCCTTGCAGAGCTGTCAGCAGGCAGGGCAGAAGTTAGAACCCTGGAGAGAAGCAACTAAGTTAGGCTGAGTCAGAGGTCAAGAAGTGGCGTGGGAGGCCAAAGGGTGGCATTAGCGCTAGGGTGACGGTGGAAGGAGGCTGATGCTGGAGGTTTCTGCTGGAGGTTTCTGCATTCACTTGCGGGGAGAAGTGCAGACCCTCAACTGGTCTGAGGACCAATGGGGTGGGTCAGCTGCAGCTGGGAGGAGGGCAGAGGGAGAACTGAGCACTGGAGGGGATGCCAGCCTCTCCTCCCAATCCTCAGGGACCTGAGCTTGGTTGTCCTGGTGGTGGGAGGGCTAGAGAAACACCTCCCAGAAATTGTTTTGGCCTGGCAGTTGAGGTTGGAGGTTTAAAGCAAGGGGCTGGTGGGTGGACAAGGAGGAGAAAAACCCCAGGGAGTTAGCTCTGGCTTGGAAATTTTGTGACAAACCATATGCAACATCACTGCTTAGCGTGCCCAGTTCAGGGGCTATTTGAAAGTGGGCTGCTGGATAGCCCCGGCCGGTGCTGGCTGGGTTTGTGGTGTGTGTGTGCGTGTGTGTGTGTGTGTGTGTGTGTGTGTGTGTGTGGCTGCAGCCCATATCCCCCATTCCCCCCACCAGCCTCCCCCTCCCTTCCAGCCACCCTGGGATTGGTGAGTCTCAGCCCCTCCCCCGTTTCCCCCAGACCCTCCCAGAGCCTTTATCAGGGAGCTGGGCCGGAGTTGCTGCCACATTTCGAGAGCCCCTCCACTCCCTGTTTCTCTCTTCACGGCAGCACCAGCAGTGTGTGCGGGGAGCGGGCAGTGCCCCGGGCCAGCTCCCCGATCCTGCTAGACCATCTGTCCTGGGCTCAGAGCTGCTCCACAGGTAGGCATGGGCGGGAGCATGCTGGATGGACGGGAGCTGGCACCAAAGGACAGGGGCAGAGTCAGGAGGGAATAAAGGAGGGAGGGATAAAGGTGGCAGCCTTTGATCGGGGAGCAAGGCACTGGGAAGGTGAGCAGAAAGAGTGGATAGGGGTTGGAGTAATGTTTGGAACCTGTGGGTACAGACTGATTCTTCCAATATTAGAAAGTTTTTGGCCAAGTCTTGGGGTTACCTAGGACTGGAAAACAGCATCAAGGCTCCCTCCTCAAGCCGACTAAGGAAACAGACCCATGCACGCCCTCTAAATCTGTTGTCTTCCCTGGGAGCCTAGGGTTCCCGCACCGTTGCACCATTGCTCATTGCCGGTGCATGTCCTGGGGAAACGTGTGATGGGGGGCAGGGAAACTGAGCCCCTCCTGCTCAGATACTCTCCCAGACCAAGGCTTGGATGGAAGAGCTGGCGGCTGGGAAAGCAGGGTCAAGCCAGGCTGCTGGTCGTGAGTGTCCCCTGCGTTTGCACCCGTGTTGTGTCCTCCTCCTCCCCGCCTTCCCTGTCCTGTCCCTCTGCCCTCCTAGGCACCATGCGGAGCACCCTGCTGTTTGCAGTCATCCTGGCCCTCAGCTTGGCTTGGAGTTTTGGGGCTGTCTGTGAGGAGTCCCAGGAGCAGGTGGTGCCCGGTGGGGGCCACAGCAAGGTAAGGCACCCCCTCCAGCTGTGCCCGCCCTGGCAGAGTACTGGGCACCACCGTGGGAGCCGCACCCTGCCTGTCCCACAGCTGTAGGGAGGAAGAGGGGGCGGGCCGACAGGAGTCACCTGTATTACCCATCGGAGGGTTGGATTACCCTGCCTCTCTGGTGGCCTCGTGTTCTCACTGTCTCCAGGTTTGTTTGTCAGTGTCTCTGTCCCTCTGTGTGTCTTTAACACCTTGTACGGGACCTACTAATAGGTCGTTTGGTCAATTGATTGTCTGGTGACTCGGTGACTGGATGGTACTGTGAGGGATAGGCTGGCGCGATCTCAGGTTCTCTACAGTCCAGCCCAGGTTCTGTCCCTTTGCAGGGGGGACAGATCCTCCCCGCTCCCCGGATGGCATGAAACAGTCAGAATTTCTCTCCCAAATGGTCACTTGTGTGCTGTTTTACCTATCAGTTATATATATTATTTTGTTTTTAAAATTAAAATAATTTCCTCATCCCCTGCTCATCCACCCCCAATAACCTCAGGTGCTCCCAAGATCCCAACCCCCTCTTCTCTCCTCTCCCGTGTCCTCCTCTGGCCTCTGCTTAGTCAGGATAGGGAAAAAACACAAAACAGGCCCCAATTTCCAAAGTTCCTCTAAGAAAAAGAATAGGAGTTGTCAGGGTAGGGGTACCAGGGGAGAGCAGGGAGGAAGTCTTTTCAAGGTTTTGAAATGACAGCAATTACATCGCTACAAATGCTTTTAAGATGATTACAGGTGGAACTTATTACAAATTCAGCATGTGAAGTCTGCCTCTGCAGCTCAAATCGTTCAGCATCTCATCACAGGAGGTGCGCAGGCAGAGTACTTGAACAATTTGTGGGAGTGGCTGCGTGGGAAGCCGTGTGCTGGGCAAAGAGAGAGGTCACCAGCCTTTGTCCAGCTTGTGGGGTGTCCCAGGGCACGAGAGGCTGGCAGCGTTGCGGGTAGCAGCAGTTGCACCAGGTCCAAAAGACCAGGACCAGTTCAAAAACCACACAAAGTGTGCCAAGCGTGGGCTGGACACTGTGTTCAGAGCCCAAGGTTCCAGCTAGAGATAGTCGGAATATCTGGGTCTCTTCCTCTGAGAGAAACTTGCCTCAAGACCTTGTTCCTCGTGGTCAGTTAAAAAGAGAGATTGCTCTCCTGCCCTTTCTTGCTGTAGGTCCGTGAGGATGAGGGCAGTTGGGATGAGACGAGGGTAGGATGTACGTACGAGGGCAGCCAGGTTGGCATGTGTTGGGGTGCGTCCTGTATAAATGTGCACCTGTGTGTGCTCAGCAGACCAAGGGCCCCAGGGCTCTGGAGAGAGAGGCGCCACTGAGATTCAAGGTGAAAACCTCCCAGCACGATCACTGTCATTGTCTCTCTGCAGCCGCAAATAACTGGGCGTGTGGTGTGTGCCCACCAACCATCCTGCTGTGCCCACGTTGCTAAAAAAATCAAGATGATTAACAGCCCCTGCTTGGCAGCAGGTCTAGAATGGGGTTCAGTTGTGGAGGAGAAGAAGTTTCATTCTGATGAGCATGCTGCCTCCCTGAAATTCTAAATCCAGGGGAGACAGGGGAGAGGGAGAGAAAACCAGAGGCAGAAGCTGATGGAGAAGAGCGAGCAAGAAGCGATGGAAGTGCAGGGAGAGGAACAACCAGAGACATAGTGCAGAGTGGGGGGTTTCAGGATTGCAGGCATGCTTGCCCCCACCTGTCCCCAGGTATGTGACTCAATCATGGAGCACAGACCGAAGGACACTTGCTCTGGCTAATGAGCCTTCATGTGAGTGGAGGAATTCATGGCTCACTTACTTAATGGGGCAACCACATCCTTGGTCAAACCACTTCCTGATGTGCCAGGGAGAAAAGAACCAGGGGCCTTCTCACTGAGATGTGGCAGGAGCTGGGAGAGGGCCCCAAGGGACCCTCTGAGCTTGGGAGATAGCATGACCAGCCCCCCGGTTTTTCCGGAGCCACCCCGGCTTGAGCACCGCAAGCCCCCCACACCTGGGCAAACTGGGACAGTTGGGGCGCCCAACGTTCTCCCTTTTCCAACGCTTCTCAAACCTTGCTACGCATATGGATCACCTGGGGGCCTGGTTAAGATGCAGATTTTGCCTCGGTAGGTCTGGGGGAGGACTGAGATCATGTATTTCTAACAAGCTCCCAGCGTGGATGCTGCTGGTCCATGGACCATACTTGAGAGCCCACTTCTCTTCTAGTGTAAACCCAAGGAAATGCTGAAAGAAAGAGGATGTCAGCTTTAGCTGTGGTGGGCTCAAGGAGAGGCTGCTTCTTGTGGGGAAAGAGTGAGTGGACTGGGTGTGAGCCTCCCCTCAGCCCTCTTGGCCTCTCTCCCCTAGAAGGACGCGAGCCTGCACCAGCTGCCCCCGTCCTTGCTCCGGAGACTCCCTGACAGCCGCTTAGTCTCCCTGAACGGATTGCTCAGAGTGCTGAGCCGGGCTGGCACGGGTAGGAAGCAGCCCCAGGGAGAGGGGCATGTGGGGCAGGGTTCTGAAGATTAAATAGAACTGGGAGACCCTTTTGGGTGGGGAGGAGGCTGGAGATGGCTTAGGGAACAATTGCTTGTTCTTGCTCTCACAGGTCCTAAGGAATCACCACTTCCCCAGAAACGTGAGTAGCCTCTTCTGCCTCCCCGTCTCTGCTGACTGCTTGCCCAGAGCTCCTCAGGCAGGGCGCCCAGAGACTATTTCGGCTGGCCCCGTCTGGGCTGGCCCACACAGCACGCTCGCTGCAGCTGCTCAGCCAGCCTTCCCTCACTGCGAGAGGCCACTGGGAGCTGGGAGGAAGCAGGTGTGAGGGGCGCGGTGGGGTCTCCCTCTGCTGGCAGGTTATCAGGAAGCAAGAGGACCTCTTGGTGGCTGTGATGATTCTAAGCCAGGCACCTGCCGGTTGAGAGAATTTTAGAGAATTCCTGAAATGTGGGTGAGGGAGAGATAGGTGCAGAGGCTGCGCTTAGGGGATAGCCTACTAACTGTGGGGAGTGAAGCTGTGAATGAGATAAAGAAACAGAGACCAGAATCCAACGCTGACGTCTTGACACATGCCTGGGGGAATGTATTGGCCCCGCATCATCGCTGTTGACAGTGCTGGCCCTATTTCTGCAGGTGACATGCACGACTTCTTTGTGGGACTGATGGGCAAGAGGAACGTCCAGCCAGGTAGGTGCCTGCGGCAGAGCGGGGGAAGGGTCAGGGCACTGGCAGAGATAAGGCAGCAGTCAGCTGCCTCATGTTTGTCACCAGAGGGAAAGACAGGATTTTTCTTAGCCACAGTGAAGGTTCCTTGGCCCCTTCTACCCAGTCAGCTCGGACCCACAGTCCAGCTCTTCCTGGGAGCAGAGTAGGGAGACCTTTATATGACAGTCCTGCTGCAGCTGGGAAGGGGCGGGGAGGCTCTGCTTCCTCCCCATCTCGCAACCAGAGCATTCCTCTTCTACTCAACTCTGTCTTCCAAAGCCATCCTGCATAGCAGCCCTTTGCTGTTGGGTCAGGGTGAAGGCCATATTCAGAAAAGTCACTCCTAACTACACCATTTACTTCATCCAGACACTCCTATTGATGTGAACCAAGAGAATGTCCCCAGCTTTGGCACCTTCAAGTATCCCCCCAGTGTGGAATGAGGTACGAACTGTTGGTCAGGGAGAAGAGAGGGGACGGTGTTGGGGGGGGATGGTGGGGGGAGATTGCCAGAGGAGCATTTCCTCTGATGCTGTAGGCATTAATGCTCGTAATTAATGCCCTAAATACACTACCAGTGCCCGACACTTAGAGGCGCATGCTTGTCTGAGAGCGCGCACGCACGCACACACATCTCTTCCTCATCCCTCTCCCCTGTCTCATGGACTCCGGCTTACTCTTGAGCAGAAGGAGGGAGTGTTGGGAAATGGGAAGGGAGGGGTTTCCCCTGGGCTTCTCTGCTGGGCACCTTTTGTAGTTTGAACTCCATACTCTTGTGATCTGTGCAAAAGAGGGAGAGATCATCATCTGATAATTACAGATACCGTGTCTCATCCACATGTGAAGCATTTTGCTTCCCAGGCAGGCTGAAAACGTTCAGATCACTCAGAATCTCAGGTTACTGGGTCTAGTGTGTAGTTCTTTGCAAGGGTGATTTAGGAAGAAATGCAAGGAACTCTGAAATCTAAGGGGGCATAGCTGGAAACCATATCTTAATTGCTCTGTGCAGCATAATGGGTGACAGCATGGCCTCTGTTCAAATCCTGGATCTGCCACTCACTAGCTGAGTCCCCTTAGCCAGGTGACATAACTTTTCTGTGCCTCAATTTCCTTATCTGAAAAATGGGGGTGATATGGTTATCTTGCGGGGTTGTGGTTTTGAGCGTAGGTAAAGTGTTCTGAATAGTGCCCAGCACGCAGCGCTGGGGGTGTGGGGAACGGCCGGGGGCTGACCCTGGGGGCTCTGGTCTGTCTGCCTGGAGCTCCCTGGGCTGGACCCTGGGCTGGAATGGGCTGACAGCTCTCTTACTCGGTATGCCAATGTGAGAGTCCCCAGGGAAGTGTCTTGTCAAAACATGGAAATTTCCGCCTCGACACCATCTTCCCACACACAGCAATAGCAGTTCAACTGGTGGCTTTCTTTGCACCAGCTTCCAAAGAAAGAAGGTGTTGGGGGAGAAAAGGAGAGGGATCAGGAAGCCTCAGTCATCCCAGAGTCTCCTGCTCCCTCCCTGAGACCCTGTTACTCACGCTCACCACGCTCATTGGTCTCAAAGGAGACTCAAGGACCGGGAGCTGGCTCTCGATGAAACTGCCTGTGCCTGATCCGGGGGCCCAGAGACTAGGTCTGGCCCCCCATTCAGCGCTGGGTGAGAGGGCACAAAGAGCCGTAATAACCGTAACTCGCTGATTACACGGTACTTACTGTATCATTTTGCTCTCATTAGATTGTTATTTCAGTCCTGCCGATGGCCAGATAATTATATAGGCAGCCATATCTGGATGACATGCTCTCCCCAACGTTATGCATCAGCCATAAAGATAATTACAGTGCAATTTTGCCATAGTATTTTATACAAATGGCAGAAACAAGAGCATTGCGGAAATCTACTTTTAATGCTTTCTGGTGGATCTAGGCTCTTTCAGAGGGACCAGGCCCATAATTGCAGCCTTCATAATCTCACCACTAACAGAGCATTCTCAACCCATTTGGTGCCTGGAAAAACAGACACAAGGTCCCTGGGGCTGGCACTTAAGTAAGATTAGATGAACTAGATCAACAAAGACCATTGTGCCATCTTATTTCATTCATGTGAAACTCCTGAAAAAGGAAGTGATCCCTGCCTGTCCTTCCTCTGGGAGGTTTCTGGAAAGAGGAAGAGGGACTAGGTGAGGCTGGGGGACCACTGACACCTGGGAGCGTTGGACGGGGCTGTGTGTATGCTTGGCTCACAGGGACACCAGGAATATAGGAACTTTGCCACTGCAACTTTCTGCCTGGGCCCCACAGGCCATGCCCACGGTGTTTGTAAGGGTCACGATAAACACGGCAGCTGGGAAGGGGCAAGCACCTGCGACGAGGAGAGTTCAGTCTTCTAGTCCGAAGGCTGCAGAGATAGCTGAGGGCTAAGACTTCCATTCTCTCTACTTCTTCTTCACAGATGCCCCTCCCGCTGTCCCTGCTTCCCCAGTGGGTGGTTGGTGGGAATTTTACAGGACAGAGATGTGATTTCATTTTCTGGGTCCTCAGCACTCCACTTCTGGACCCCTGGGCTGCATCGTGAAGACACCTGTCGCCCTGTCCTCATCCCCAGGTGCATGTGCTCCCTTCTCTTCCCCATCCTTGCAACACTCTAGTGCTTCGACTCCTTCCCCGTCCCCCTACCCCATCGGCTGTAGAAACTGTCTAGTGAGCATCCCCAGTTCCTGCAGGCGGTGGCTATAGATCCTCTGAAGTTTCTGTAGTGTCCTAAAAATATGACATCTCTCTCTACTCCTCCACAATAAAGGATTTTTACGTACTATGACCTAGAGTGACTATTTGGTTGGTGGGTGAGTTTTTCTCTTCCTTGACTCTTCCAGCTACATCACACACATGCATATATATGATACACACATGTATCATATATAAATGGAAGTATCTTTATTTTGTACACATACTGATTTTCCCAACAGTGCCTTACTCATTGCTTCATACAATTAATATCATAAGATTTATTCAGTGATTGAAAGAAGAAATGAATTTGGAAGATTGTTCCTCAGAGGCTTTCACAGACCACCTTCAGATATAGAAAAAAAAAACCCAGATATTCTGAATGGCTTGTCTGTATTTCCAGCCTGGGAGACATCCATCCCTGAATCTGACTCTATTTAGAGACAGGAGGTGGTGATCAAGGCTGTGCGACGACCCAGCCTCAGAAGAGGATGCATCTAAAGCACTGAACCATTTTTCTGCCCCCAAGTGTCGAGCACGGGTCCTGCAGCAGGTTGTGGGGATGAGGCTGTGATCCATACACAGAGTTTACAGCCTAGCAGGGTTGTGGACAAGCAAACAACACTCGGTCCTGCTAGGAGGAGGCACGGACAGGAAAGTTACTGCAGTGGCCAAGACAGAGGAGAGCAGATATCCTCAGTGTTAACTGGCCACCTTTGTTATTATAAAGGGGAAGCATTCATTTCGACTCTTCCGTAGTGCAACTGTTGCCAGCCCCTGTAATGCTGGTCTAGTGTATGTACAGCAGTTATATGAGTGTGTGGGGGTGTCTTTTATTAATCTGATGTGCCAACAGCCCATTGATCCCAAGGGGGTTTCTGTACCCTAATGGAACAGCCTGGGAAATCCTCAGGCTCCCAAGGCCATGCCCCTGAACCGCCCTGGTAACAAAGTTGACACAGCCTCCCAAGGCTGTGTAAAGACAGAGCTATGGAGCCAGACGCCACTTCCTGCAGGTCCTTCACCCCAGTGAAAGTCCTCTCTTTCCAGAACCTGACTGGGGCAACTTTGGACCCACAGCTGTAGGGTTGGGGGAGGGGAGGAGGAAGGGCTCACCTCCGATGCCTGGTGTCAGGTTTACTGCTAGAGGTCAAAGAATGCTCTCTCCTTGAATTCTCAAGCCTTCTTCCAGTGAGTCATCTTGTTGACTTTTCAAAACCATCTATCTAGAGGGCTTAAGAGTGGGGTAAGTTTGCAGAGTCTGGGGAATGTGTTCGAGACATGAAGGCTTCATGCTGTGGTTCTGCTCAGACTTGGGAGGGAGTACACGTGCGCTGAGATGATACAAGTGCTTTGGCAAGTAGGAGCATTTATGCAGAAAGGTTGCTCTCTGGTGGGACTGATGAAAATTGCAGTACTGGGGATTCCAGGAAAAATGAAGACAAACTTAAAATCAGATTCCAACTTTTGTGCCTGGAGAATGAGTGAAGGAATCCCAGCCTTCCTCTTCCTGCTGTAAAGAGGTTGATACCTAAGGGGACTTTCAAAAAGACCTTGGCTGGAGGGGAGGGTATAGCTCAGTGGTAGAGTGCATGCTTAGCATGCACGAGGTCCTGGGTTCAATCCCCTGTACCTCCATTAAAAAAGCAATTTAAAAAAATCAATAAACCTAATTACCTTCCCCCAAAGAAATAAGTAGGGAAAAAACAGACCCTGGCTAAATTCCTGGCCCTCCTCGACTTAGCTTTGTGTCTGTGTGTCATTGTGATGGCATGGTGATAGACTTTAAAGACTTCAGTATTAAAGATTCTAGACCCAATTCAGTATGTGTGGAGGGGGAGGGTTTCCCACACCACCAAGCAATGCTCCAATATTATCTACATATTATCTACCCAGAGATAGTATCAGATTTCACAGAGCTCAGTCCTACAAGACCCACCCCCGACCCCAACCCCTTCAGATGCCTATCTTAAGCCCAGGTTATTAACTGTTCTTCTGATCCACAACTACAAATTAGAGGTTCCCAAAGCCCTATCCTTGAGTTCCATTAATCTGCTATTGTTCATGGGACTCAGAAAACTCATTCACTCACTAGATCACCAGTTTATTACAATATAATGTAACAGGAAGGCCAGATGGAAGAGATGCATGGGGAAACGGATGCGAGAGTCGCGGCGCGTCCATGCCCTCTCTGAGCACGCCACTCGCCTCTCACTGAATCTCTATGGTTTCACCAATCTGCAAGCTCTCCAAACCCACTTCTTTTAGGTTTTTATGGAAGCTTCATTACATAGGTATGATTGATTAAATCATCGACCATTGGTAATTGATTCAACCTCTAGCCCCCTCTTCCCTCTCTGGAGGGCAGGGGTTTGAGACTGAATGTTTCAACCCTCTAATCAAAAGTCCTCCTAGCAGCCAGCCGCCCACCTTTAGGTGCGTCCACAAGGCATTCATCAACATAACAACAGACGTCTCTATGGCTCTCACTACTTAGGGAATTCCAAATGTTTTAGGAGGTCTGTGCTAGAAACAGGGATAAAGACCAAATATATATTTCTTATTATAAATCACAATATCACAAGTATCAACATTACACACTTTAATCTCCACCTTCAGAGGGGTGTTAGCATGTGAAGTACATTTACTGGGATCAACATTCCAGAGACGGTTAAAGCAGTTGGTTAGAAAGATTCAACAGGCCCAAGACGCCTGCCAAGTCTTGCAGCCTGATGTCTCAGAGCCATGCCGGAGGTTTGGAGTCTATTGGCTGTGTTAAAAAAGAAATGGGCCCGTAATGGAGTCACTTGCGCTAAGCCCCATGTTAGCAACCAAGATTTAATGCCTGACCTAATGGCAGTTTCAGCCTCTCCTAGGAACGTGACCTTTAACCAGGCAATACGGAATTACCACAAGGAAGGCGATCTTGCCTGAAGTAATCCACTCTGTTGAAAAACAAAATTCAGCTGAGTAAATTTGAAGTTCTCATTGGCTTTATTCAATGACCCATGAATCAGGCAGCATTCCACCTAGCAAATAGAAAGGAGTTCCAAACAGCTGCAGAAAAGGAAAGGTTTTTTAAGAGCAGAAAGGGAGTGGGGCAAGAAGTCACGGACAGGAGGACGGGTTATTTCCTTTGCGGGGAGGCAGCTGTCTATGAGGTGGCTAGGTAATTCCATATTGACTGGTTAAAACTCACATTCTTCAGAGAGGCTGAAACTGCAATCAAGTCTTGGTTTGACGACATGGACCTTAGCATAAGTGACTCTATTTTGGGCCTGTTTCTTTTTTAACAGCTCTTCGCTAGAAACTTCCTTTTCCTGCCCCCTTTTCCGTATAAAACACTTCTATTTTGTAGAGCTCTTCAGAGCTCCTTTCTACTTGCTAGATGGGACACTCCTGTTACTGAATTGTTGAGTAAAGTCAATTAGATCTTCAAATTTACTCGGTTGGATTTTTTTTTTTTAAACAGAGTTGGCATCAGCAGTAGGACTGAAGGAGACTTCTGATGGCTTCAGGGACAGTGAGTAACATAGTTATGGTCCCTGCAAACCCTTTTGGGTTCTCTGTCTTTCTTGCTGTTTCTGAGGGCCATGAATAAATTCTCAGTTTACATATATATGTGTATATTTTATTGAAATATGCTTGGCTTACAATGTGTTAGTTTCTGGTGCACAGCACAGTGATTCAGTTATACACACACACACACACACACATATATAATCTATCTTTTCATATTCTTTTTCATTTTAGGCTATTACATCGTCTCGGTTTTGAGCTCCACTGTCTTTATGTCATCTCCTGATCTAAGTGGCTTTCCAGTTTGGGGCAGTCAGCTTGAGCTAGTAGACAGTTCCATCTAGAACCCAAGCCCCCAGCCCGTGGTCCAGACCATAATTCCCCCATTTGAGTAGAAAACCCCAGCACTCAGGTCTGTCCTCAGATTCTACACCGGGAACTGCTGGTGGCAGCTGCGGTTCTTCATTTTTTTGGAACCAGTCCTCGGATACCATTATTTTAGGTCTGTTGGTTCAGTCCTTTTTCCAGTCCCAAGTTCCATGGGAATTGTTGGTGGTACACACAGTGACTTCTTTTGGCCAAGCTGCAGTAATATATCTTGGTTACTGCTCGTGTGTTAAGCTGCACATGTTTGTTTGTCTCATTTATGTAGACAAAGGCTGCTATTGTTAATGGGAATCTTGGGAGCCAGAAAGTTGCAAAAATTGTTGGAGTTGTTGCCTGGCTGCCTTCTAACATCTGGCAATGGACAGGATGAGATAGGAGATGCAGACACAGAAGGGTCCTAGAGCCTGAGATGTTCCTACGTGTTGGAGGAGAGAGAGCTGGGATGACAAGGACTTCATATGGACCAGAAATGTGTGGATTTCCAATGTCTTAGGTGGTGGTGGTGTGGCAGGCAGGGCAGGTGGTCTTGGTTTGATGACAATTCTTGGGCAGGAGCGTTTGGGAGATTTGGAGGGTAACTGGTGCACTAAAGGAGAAGGGCAGGTGGAAGCAGGGCAGTGGGGCTCTTGAAAGAGGGAAGCAGAGGAGGAAAAATAATTTTCCCTCTACCCTTCTAGGTTCTGGGCTGAATAAATAATAAAAGACAGATTGACAGGAAAAAAAGAAACGGAGGTTTAATCACATGTATACTTCCTGTCTACATGGGAGGTACCCAGGAAAATTAAGAGTTCCTACACATTTAGTTATCTTTCTGGTACAGAGAGGGAGACACTCTTACAAATGGAGATTTCGCTTACAAATGTAAATATCTCTAACAAAAGGATAATTTCTCAGTTTTCAGAGCTTCTCTGCTGTCTGCTGCTTCTTGAAAAGAATCCTTATGTCAAAGAGGCACATTTGGGGATGTCAAGTTCTGCTCCCCTCCAAGGGGGGGGACCAGCTGCTGGAAGCAGGCCTGGGCAGCCAAGGTGCGGTGGCACACAGCGGGATACTGTGAATTCCTTCATTTGGCCACCTCGCTGGAAGGGGAGGCCACAGTGAACTTTCAGAGTGGTCCACCATGGGCCCACCTCTCAAGTATTTATTCATTCAGTTGTTCATTCATTCAAACGGGCTTTATTAAGTACCTATCATATGGACCAGAAATGTGTGGTAAGTGCGGGGATGCAGTAATGTGCAGAACCACAGACCCCTGCCTTCAGGAAGCTCTCTGCCTAGTGGCGGAGCTATAAATTAGTCAATAATCTTACAACTTTTTGTAAAACTGTAACAGCAGATGTTTTGAGAGTAAACTTCTGGGAATATGAGACGTAGAACAGAGGAGGAGATTTAAGCTTAGAGTTGGGATGGGGTTTTCACTTCTCCAGGTACCAGGGCGAGGAGGAAGTGGTCCTCCGCCGGGTGGATCGCCGCTTCAGAAAAGCCAGGCCTGGGGGATGGGGTCGGAAACATTCCCGCAACTGC